ATCTCACTCACAGATTACACTTCAATCTCGGATCCCACTCACAGATTACACTTCAATCTCAGCTCCCACTCACAGATTACACTTCAATCTCAGATCCCAATCTAATTTCACACTCAGATACAACTCTCCACCCACGAGAGTTTGCTTCCTCTTCCTTCGAACTCTCCACACTCTATCCTCCTACCGATCCCACCAGCGTCTCCACACAATGGCACACCACACGATCCAGCTCGCGCACACTGGTACACTCCAGCTCTCCGCCCCAAGGCAGAACTCCCCACCTGGTCTCAGCTTCCAGGCCGAACACACCACAGCCTGCCTGAATGCCCCACCCGCAATGATGGGTCACACCTACTTCCCATGCGCGACTTTATGCCCCGCCGTCTCTGCCACACCAACTTGACTTCACGCCGCCGCCACTGCCACACCTGAACATTCTACATTCATGACCACCCGATCCTCGCCGGAGGAAATCTCCTTCCGCGCACCGCCGAATGCGTCCAACCGCCAAAGACGCACTTCCACACCTTGTCAATCTCTAACAGTCACCCGACGCCCATAACTCACGGATCCATGCTTCGTTTGCAACGTTCTTGGGCTCGCTGGAACGAGCGTGTCGTGCTCTTTTCAACGAGCCCCTAACCAAGTCAAACGGATAAGAATTGAGAAAGTTATCACTGTTTTACTCTTCCGCCGAAGGCCTGCAACCGTCGAAGTCGTCCGTCCGCGCATCGGACAAAAGTCGATCTCCCTACCTCCGAAGGCGGAATTCCCGGAAGCGTAACCCCGAAGGCGAACATCTAGGGCCGAAGGAGAACGTCTACGTATCTTCCGATAGTCCTAACTCCCTAAATTCCCATCCGTCCCAGGCGTTCTTGGGCTCGTTGGAACGAGCGTCGCGAGCTCTTTCCAACGAGACCCTAACCACTGCAAACCATTAAGAATTGAAAACACTATGTCGATTTTACCCTTCCGCCGAAGGCCTGCCTGTGCACAGGCCGCCTACTTGCAACCCGCCTGTGCACAAGCGTCCGCGTCGTCAGCCGCCCCTCTAACTGTTAACGCCGAAGGCCCCTCTAAATGTTAGCACCGAAGGCCCTCCATATCAGAAACTTCCGCCGCTCCTAACTCGATGATGCCTCATCCGTTTCAAGAGATCTTGGTCTCGTTGGCACCAACTCGTCGAGTTCTTTCCAACGAGACCCGAATCAAGTCAAACCGCTAAGAATTGAGAAAGTTATGAGCGTCCGCGTCCGTGCGCAGGTGTCCGTCCGTCGAGGCTCGTCCGCCCTGCGAGGCTCGCCCGTCCGTCGAGGCTCGCCCGTGCACAGGCCGAAGGCCCCTCTATATTAGAAACTTCCGCCACTCATAACTTAGTGACCTCTCATCCGTTTCACAAGTTCTTGGGCTCGTTGGAACGAGCGTCGCAAGTTCTTTCCAACGAGACCCTAACTGAGTCGAGGCGTCACACATTGAAAACGTTATGAGAGTTTCACTCCTTCGCCGAAGGCCTTTCCCCGAAGGGATTTCACCGAAGGCACTTCGCCGAAGACCTTGCCCCGAAGGCCTCCTTCCGCACCTCTTGCCCCCTAACCATCACACCAACTCCTAATCTTGCAGAAACTTTCAGAAAACCCCAAGCATAATTTTGCAAGAGCTTAAATCCCAACTTTTAACTCTCATAAGGGTAAAAAGACATGTGAGCACAGTTTTGTGCTCACACCAACCACATTAGGATAAAAGATCGTGAATATCCTCACAAGAGCTTGGGGTACTGTTTGCATTCAGTGTCCAGCTGATTTGTAGATTTGCAAAACTGGAAGTAGGAGTGAAGATCAAGACTGATTCTCTAATGCTCACCATTTTGGATATTGGTTTCTTTTGTTGTAAATTGACAACGCAAAAAATACTAAACAAAGTTACTAATTTTGTCACAAAAATATGCACATGAATTAAGATTGACCAAAAATTTGTACCTAACGAGCTAGGAGCCAATAAGGTGACAAACCATAAGAAATAATATTTTTCAAGACACATAACGGACACTAAAGCAAAGCAAAGAGGTTTATATCTTAGAAGTTGTTACTAAAGAAGAATACATCGTAGCATCATACTCCGATTTAACTCGTTTAAATAATGATAGTACTTGCTCTTTTGCCTTTGTTGATTCTTGATTACGTCAGAAAAATAAATGTTTAAGCTCAGTTACAACAATATGCACAATTTACTTTTTTATACCATAGATAAGTTTTCACTTAAACTCTAGAATCTGAGATATAGAATGAATTTTGACAGAGTTCTTGAACACATTTAGAAAATCATTGATGAATGAATTGAGGTGAGAAGATGATAAGAATTGAATAGTTTTGGAAATGAGTTTTGACAAAAATCTTAAATATAACCGGAACATCATCAAAGGAATGAATTAGAGTGTCTGGTATAGAACCGTTGAATTAGAATGTTGGCTGTGAATAGGTTTTTAAAGAATATCTTAACAAAAATGATGGCTCCATCTTTGAACAATACTCCAACGTTGCCCTACGACCCAACAGTTCTTTCCCTTCCTATGACCTCGGATAAAGATGTAAAACTTTGAAACTATAAGGGACACATTTGCACCATCTCACTATTAGTTTATTTACTCACAGACATTTATGTGAGTTAAGCGTCATGACTCCGATATCTTATTAAAAGCATGCCTATACAAATGTATATATGCATATGAAATCCGATATGAATTTTTGTTAAAAATTCAATTTGATTTTCCATTCGATAAATGCATTCATTCTGAAACCAAGACAAGACCATGAGCGAAGAAATTTATTTTTAATCAACCGCGGCGAGGTACTGAAAAGACAAGGGAGCAATATTGTTTCTGCTTTGACTCGTATTTTAAGCATACGTTTACCGGAAAAGAAATTGAAATAGTTATTTCAAATCAATTTAATTACTTCCTTGAAGTATTTCTACACCGACTGATGTGCAGCATATAATATGGGAAGAAGTTACTCCATAAACGAGACCAAAGGCAAGTCAAGGACGTCAAACTTGTGTCAAAATAAAGAAATCCTTGTGCAACTAACTAAGAGTTAAGTTGAAGAAACGTCTTATGCACAAGGTTCAAAAACTTACGTGTATGCAAGGTCTAGAAGGCAAGATTCTTGGCAGACAGTGGTTTGATTCCTTGCTCTTTTTTCCAAAATGTCAGATCTCATCCCAAAGTCTTTGGGATGACGTCACAGTTGCATGCAGATCTTTGGAGGTCCCTTTGCATGATCAGCTCTTTGTTGTCCACCTATCTTTGTTTCCGTTACTCGTTTACGTTTATAATATGCCTGGCGAAACTTCTGCGTTTGTCCCCGTCTCCTCGATGACCACGTACTAAAGTTCTCCGTCGTTCGATGACCAAGTCCTAATTCTCTCCATCGTTCCAGCATGAGTTTTTCTTCCTTGCCGTTATCGAGCTCCAATGATCGGCTTTGGATCTGATCCATGATCGATCAATTTTCTCTTTTTTACTCCATACTTACGTGTTGCTTCTCGCTAAAGATAATATATAATAATGTAAGTACCCATACCACCCTTTCGATCATTGACCGAGCAAGCTAGGTCTAACTTTTCATCATACGTACCTTAAGTTGGTTAAACTTTAAAAAGGTCTCTTCCCACTCCATGCGACCTGAAAATAGTTTATTGTGCTCCTTGTGAGATATTATGTTCTGTTCCTTGTGACTTTGATAATCGTGATATCTTAGATATTGGATGGCATGCTTTCAGTTGTGACACTACTGAGAACTCGATTTACTTTACATGTTTTTTCATAGTTGCATGGCTTGAATGGATCATCTCGTCTTTTTTGGTCTTCTATTGGACCCCACGATACTAGACGCCATGTTTTGGACCTCAAACCTTCCAATTCTAATCAGAATTAAAAAACATGCAAAATTGTCTGACATGTTTTTTCACAGTTGTTTAACCTCAAGATAGTTTCACATTTGACTTAAATTATTTCCTTTCCTTTTTCCAAAATAACCCTTCAGTTCAAGATCTTCATTGACGTAGGTTCATTTCGATTTATTCAATATTTTTTAATTCATGAACAGATGTGATTTTGGGTGAAATTATCTTCGAACGTGACTGGAATATAAATGAAAACTTTCAGTTTTCTTCTACTTAAAAAGATTAATCAAGTTCTTTACATCTTATATAATCTGAAAGTTCTACGTAGAGCACAAATGTAGGCCAACAAAAATATTTATATATATGAGCACACTACATTGTGATTAGTCTATGGTCAAAGAAATAGATGAAGAACGTGAACCGAATGTGTACAAATTCATGGTTTCAATGCTTCAAACTTCACCTCTTCTGGGCTTCCATGTAACTGCAAGTGAAATCAGTATTATCGCTTCCAATTGGTCAGGATACATTACTTTATTTCGTTTGCTTGCTGCTAACCGAAGATACGCATGAATTCTAACGATATGTCAAACACCTGGAGCGCTTTCATTGGAATTCCCATCAAAAATTTGATAACGTAAACATATGGACAATCACTAGAAAAAAATGCATGATATTTGCTAATAATTGATAATTGCCCATTTTCTCCGACCATAAATTTATCTGATCTAAATCATCATCTCTCTGGTTCAGCCCACTACAACACCATGAGGAAAGCAATCTGTAAGTGTGCAATCACAAAGAAGTTAAGCCATCATGCTACGTTGTCCACTAGGCCAGGCACTCTACTTTACGATAGAACTTCTTAAATATTCTTCTCCATTGTTCCTTTGTATCCGTCATCACCTGTAAAGTAGTAAGGGTGGACCAGATGGATAACAAAATCTACGGGAATGGGTAACTTTCATAGTCACACCACCATGTGGTTGTCACCATGTTCATTCAACCTCATGCAGCTACCTCGAGTACATCCAAGAAATGTTGACTTTAGGAACCCCCAAGCGCGTCTCAATTCCTCGGACAATTCTTCGGGCAGTCATGGACCTCTAGTCAAATTCATACTGTTGGACGGAGTGGAGACTCGCAAACTCTCTCTCTCTCTCTGTTATATCTCAGAGAAACGACGCTGCAGTTCAAGCAAGTTGTCGTCTTAGAATGTTAAGACATTGAAATGTGTCTTAACATTCTAGTTCAATTCCTGAGCTCCATAGTCGGCAGAGTCAAAAGGTTCTGCAACGTACCGGAAGAGACGGTCGGTCCAAGCTTCATGAAGAAGCAACACTATTCTAGTTTGTGTTCGCAGTCTGCGCATTCTGTTCTATAACAGCTGGATTTGAGATTTGTTCATTCGGTCATTCATTTGTTCATTCCAGCATTGGGCCCTTTCAAGGCTGCTTTGCTCTGAATCATTCATTCATTCATTTGTTCATTCCAGCATTGAGCTCTTTCAAGGCTGCTTTGATCTGGATCTTGACAGACGCGCAAAATTGGATACATCTAACATTGCTACCTCTTCCTACGCAAGACCACGCCAAATTCACAACAAGCTGCAGCTGCAACTCACATGTCGTCATCGAGGAGTTCTATAGAGACGGGGGTGAGTACTATTTCTATTGCCAGAATTCGCTCGACTTAGATGCGATGATGCAGTTTTTCGTTCCATCCTTCTTTAAGATCTCGTCTTGTAACGAGGCAGCACATCCATGTCTTCAGAATGAGCACGCTAGTCCTGAATTCTGTTGTTACCTTGAAATTGGATGATGATATTTCACAGGCGACTTCTAGTCAGGGGATTAAACTCAATCACGTTGTGTTGATAGACAGCAGAGCAGAAGCCTGTGTTCAATGAGATGCATTCTAATGTGCTTCTGTAACATTGTGATTTCTGATTTAAATTGAATGTTCAAATGATCAGGTTTTATTTTGATTCAACCTTTCATCACTAGCCCATCAGAATCAAGATTTTTGTGGAAGCACAGTACAGTTTTCGTTTCTCTATAATTAGAGCATTTGCACTTAGAACAGCTCCATGTAAATCAGTGATCATGTGACTGGCATTCTCTGACACATGTGAAGTACATACTTACAGTTTGAGGTTCAAGTGACAGTTGACAGGGCCCGAAAATATCCGAGATTGGAACTCCTGCGAGTCGGGAAAAGAGACTCTGATAGTGATTTTTTTTCATGGGCTTGAGTTGAATGACGGGGTGTCCACAGAGAACAAACACCTCACGACATGGTCGTATCAAGACGAAAAAGAGCAATGTTGGCCAAGAACAATGTTCAAGGAGGATGTAGAGTTACAACAGTCGAATATTGTGATCCGAGCACTGGCAGCATCTTATGACTCCAGCAAGTACACAACGAATACTGAGGGGAGGGTAGACATTTTCAACCTTGGAGAAAATTTGGCTCATACAATCATCACTGAAGTTAAAAAAATGCATAAACAATCTGGTAGAATGACCCCAGTCATTCTAGTCGCTCACAGCATCGGAGGCCTGGTGGTTCAAGAAATGATAAGCCATGCATTTACGAAGGTGAAGCCTCAAATGAATGATGCCTCTGCTAGGCAGTTTCTGAGAAGTCTCAGCGGGATCTTCTTCTACTCAACACCCCAAGGTTCCTTGAAGAATGAAACTTACGAGGCAATTTTCAGTGGTGGCAGAGGTAAAGTGACAAGTCATGTGGCGAAACTTCAGTCAGAACACAACGTCATTCTGAGCAGGAAACGAGGGGAGTTTGTGAATATTATAGCGGCTATAGAGAATGAAGCGGGTTTGAGAAACCACAAGAAGATTGAGATCCAATCTGTCTTTGAGAGCCTGCCCACTAAAGTGATAACTTCAAAGGTACTTCTTCTCTCTCTACTGAAACCATTCTTCTGCTCGATGGTCTTGAAAAAGGATATCTGAGCTTGTATCATGAAGAAAATCTGGCTGAGCTATCAAAAATCAACCGTCCTTTCGATTCATTGAGAGTTTCCATGTTCTATTCTGAAGATCACAAATTCAAATACAATGCATGACCATGCTGACGAGAAATGTGTCTTCTATGCAGGGCAAATGGGAAGGCATGATTGTGGAAGAGGGCAGTAGCAGATCACTGCATCTTGGAAATGACACTTACACTAACATTAAAGCCAACCACTTCGACGTTTGTAGACCAGAATCAGGTGAAAAAGGTTTCGGTCAAAATCAATATCAGTTTCTTAAAAACTTCATACTGAGGGTAATGGAATCTTAGCGTTACATTCATTGATGATTTAGAAAACAGTGGCTTTTCATTTTCTCCTAGCTGGCAAGCTCTTGGAGCTCTTATCCTAGTGTTATCTTCATGGAGATTGTATTTTATGAATTAAGTGATGTAATGACTATCTTGATTTGAATGATCATTGTGTTTTTTTATCAATGATCATTTAAACTCTCAATATAGTAAATTAAAAGTAATATTTTCAAGTCCAAGTCATTCTTATATAAGAATCGCACGCCCAAAACCAACATGGCGCATGCTCAAGAAGCCAATATAGTACGAGATTGAATATTTTCATCAACAGACATCTGTAATATAAAAGTAAGATTATGTAATATTTTTTCTCATCCTTCTGTTTATATATGCTATCAAATATTTCAATTTTTGTCATCTAAACTTGCATCCATTGTTAGAAACACAACCACACCTCAAGTTTGAAATATATCGTTATGATTTGAATTTCAAAATGTAAACAACTCCCATGAAGACTAAGTTGTCAATACCCTTCACCAAAATACTCAACAAATCTCTTTCCAACTTCAAAATTTCAATACAAAGGAATAATTGACATAGAGTTTTAGATAGTTTGAAAAAGTCTCAAATAACTAGCTATATTGACTTCAATTTGTCTCTTCATCATAATGAGTTTGGTTGTTTTAGTAGAGTGAAACTTCACCATGTAAAGAATGTGACATCTACTTACTCAACCATTAGATTCAACCAAACTTCAAAAATAGTTGCATATCATTTTTGTAATCATCTCAAACAAATTTCTCATTATTATGCAGGTTGTGCATGGAAAGCACATGTTGCTAACACAGTATCTTCAGTTATCTTTTTATATATTTAATCTATCTTCTGATGGTTATAGCTTAGAACTAGTTAATTCTTGATATAAAGAGTAACCTCAATTCTAGCTAAATTTAACTATATGAAGTCGCCAAAACTGGGGGTAATTAACCCTAGTGACTTTAGAATGTAATTAGATACTTTGTCATTGGTCAACAAACTCTCTTGCATGTTCCGACCGTGGACGTAGTACTGCATCTGGGTGAATCATGTTATATTTTGTCTTCTTCTGTTTGTCATTTGGAGTATATTATCTGTTTGATTGGCAACTGGCTGTGGCTATCTTCCATTTCTTGAACTAACAAATTGTTGAAATTTTAATTTTGTCAAATTTTTGCTCACATATGTTTAAAACTTACTGCATTGATTTCCACTCATCATTTTTTTGTATTAGAATTTATTACGATTTTTCCAAAACTAATATTTTTGTTCACTTTTCCTTCAATAAAGTTATCTTCATATTCAAAGAAAATTATATTTTTAATCCTACTTTATTCTCTCAATTCTAGCACAAACTTGTGACAATTGTCTCAAACTTGTTTTGTTTTCTCTTCATTGGCAACATTTTGCGCCTTATTGTTATGTAATCAATTCTCATATCACCTCTCATCTTCAACTATATGTTGTTTTTCATCACTAATTTAATGCAAATCTAAATTTTAACATCCTTTATTTCTCACGGTCTATTAATTTATTCACTTCATCATTTTATCACTTTCATCAACTATAAAAATTTATAATTTTTCATCTTGAACGTCTTGGCGGTTTTTCCAGACATTTTGAATTTAACATTTCATTAATTTATGAAGTTAAAATTATTTTGGCATTTTAGTTTAATCTTTGATTTATTTAACACTTTGGTTAATCTTTGTTATATGCATTTCAACAAATCTAAAATTTAGATGTGTAGTTTTGTCATTTATAATAATGTACACTTTATTACTTTTGTAAATATTGAAGTTTCAAGAATTCTCTCTAACCAATTTTGCACTTTAAACTTCAGCACTCTTGAGCTTCACTTGTTTATTTTAACACTTTCAATGTAGCTTCAACAATTTGATTTTAGCATTTTGGCAATTGTAAACTTTTATATTTTAGCATTGTAGTCTTTTTGCATCAAGTCGCTTTCGCAACTCTTCATTTCATCTTGAACATTTTGACACTACCCTATCTAAGCTTTGAATTAGTTGTGTTATCTCAAGACTTACTGATATGTTTTGAATTAGATTATGTAAAAGTGTTTGAATTTTAAACCAAAATATGAATATAATTAGATAAAAAAATTCCAAAATAAAATTTGAATTCAAATAAAATTTTAAAAGCCAAATTTCAATTTTATAAACATCCACATTCAATATTAAAACAATCAAAAACACATTTTATCTCAAAAATACAAATTTTCTAACAAACCCTTGTATCATCTTCAAGGTTGTTTTTGTTATATATTGCTCCAAATATGCAAAAAACACAATCAAACATGATACTTTTACGTACATGCTTGAAGAACAATGACTACTAATATAAACTATTGCAAAGAATTTTGCGACATAACAATATTTTGAGCACATATTCGTGCATTATGTCTAGTCTCATCACAAATACCGCACATTTGCACTTGTGAAGCATTATGTAATGCTTGCAAATGGAAAAATGCTCTTGCTTGAACAATTTTGAAATGTAAAGCATCTTGCTGTGTTGACAGTTGTTTTGGAAGTAAGGTTGAACATATAGTCAATTTTTAGCATCAATAGAACGTCCACGTGTACGTAGCATTGGTGGATCTCTAGTGGCAATATCTATGTCACTGGAAGGAAGAAAGGAAGTGGAAGCCAAAAATAAGCTTGCATCTGATATTTGGATTTGTGTGAAAAAAATTTGTTTTATACACGTCATGTGTGTTGAGGTTAACTCCGATCAAGGAGTAACCTCAAGTACTAGCTATTTATAGCTTGGAGGCTTGCGGATGACAAGATATTTAACCCCAAAGTTTGTGTAATAGCAAACGAAACTTCCAGTACACTCTCACCCGCGTGAGTTTCTCCCATGATTAACCACATTATATTGGTGTCTTAACTCATTGTGTTTACTGTCACTTCATTTTTGTGTTTTAGTTTTTTGTGATTTTTTATTGAATGCTACCAATTAGCAAACGAGACTTTCAGTACACTCTCACAAGTGTGAGATTTTCGTGAACGTAGCACTTTGTAATGAACCATATTATATTGGTGTCTTAACTCATCAGGTTTATTGTCACTTCATTTTTGTGTTTTCTTTTTTTGTGATTTTTGGGTGCATGCTACCAATTTGAACAGCCGTCTATGCTCATTTTAACAATTTATGTGGTCAGTTTAACATCCTGCTAAATAAATCAATAGTAAATTTGATAAATCTACAACTGAAAAATTGCACATTTGATATTCAAAAGCTTAATGTTAACATGAAATAAAAATATGTTATCCTTTGCAAATCTTTTTATAAAAAAAATTTAAATGATATTTTGTTGAAAAAGTGATGGTAAATTTTATGGAATTTATTTCAGGTTTTAAATAAATAAATAATTTTTATTGAATATAATATTAAATATTTTCAATACAATATGAAAGTAATGTTCATTGTACAAGATTTCATGTTAACATTAATAGATTTTGTAATCATATATTGTAAGTTGGTTTTTTAAGAATAAATATTTTTATATAATCATTATTAAATTGAAAAAATCTAGAATTTTATTTGTATGTCAATATTTTCATATTTCAAGTATATATACCCTAAAGATATATATACTTTTAACTTCAATTGATATAATCAAATAAATTTTTATACTGTTTTTTGAAGCAAAAGAATTCAAAAAAAAATTTGTGTTGCTTTTCACAAGTATATATAAGTTTATATTATAAAAATCAACATATAAGCTTTACAAACTCACATTTTTATGATATAAAGTTTTATATTTAAGGAACGTTATTATATTTTCATTGGTTTATATTATCATTATACATTATCATTGATGACTAATTCTACAGAATATTTTATACTTGATCAACGGCTATCACTTTAGTGTATGTTTAAAAAATTGGTAAAATTTTAAACCAAAAAGAAATATTTTAGAGTTATAGAGATAGTTTCAGGGTAAGTCAAAATTTTGTATGGCTTTGGATGTGAGTAACAGGGTGGGTAATTATACAGTAACAATTGTCCACCTTGACAGGAATTATTGTATAATATATTCTAGAAGGGTCTAAATCATCATCTACCTTTGATTTGGATAATTTTTGAATCTTCACATTGTTTTCATAATGTGAAAATTTTTATATTGATGTGGGCGAATTCAACAAAGAGAACATACCACCATGGAAATATTATAGGATGAGTTTCACCATATAAGTCAGAAATGCACTCTAGGTCGTGATTCTCATTAGGACAAGGTTGCTTCAATGGTCACCGATGCAGAGTGACTCTGTATGTGATACCCAGGCCTCTCTATGTAGGAAACCTTCCTTATGTTCCGCATTACTACAAAATAAGAATGGTCATCAAAGCAAAATATGGAATATTCGGAGTTTGATATAAATACTCCTCGATATAAATATAAATTATCTCTTATACAAACTTTTGAATTTGACAGCAAGGTAGTACTACTTCAAGAGATATTTGTGTTATTTTTAACTAAAAGATCATTTTACGTTTCAGCACTCAAAAGTGGCTTTCGACATTGGTAGTGTTTGGAAATGGAAATTCTAATCCTCCAAAGAACTTGGTAAGTTGAGGAAATATTGATATACTCCAGACCTCACTTAAGTTAAGATATCAATAATCTGTCATAAGATTTAAATCAATGCGAAATCTTTGTTCGCGGAGCACATGACCAAAACCTACTTGTGTTGTTTCACTATTTGATCATTGGTAATTTGTTGCAAACAATGTTGATAAATCCAAACTATTTGAATAACATACCGTGTTTTAAATACTATAAATTTTGAGATAAACAACGAGGCGGAATGTTAGAACTTGTCTACTTCACATCATCACATCAGAGACGATACTTTGAGAGGTGTTTTGGCTGAAAAGGCGTCTTACGGGCTCCAGGTTTGCATGAACGCTTTCAAAAAGGTTAAGTGCAATCCATCACAGTTCCGGAATGCAACAAACTATCAAAAGAGCAATTAAATTGAATACTACTGCATAGGCGGTTTCAGCCGAAAGATCTATTTAGTAGACTTAAATAACCATAAAC